GCTGTTTCTCCCGATAAGTTTGACACACCGAATATCAGTGAAAACATTTTGTCGCATCTGAGTAGTATTGCGTATTTAACAGCTCAAAATCCACGGATTTGTTGTGAGGCGGCGGCGCTCGCAAAATCGCTCTGGTCATACGCGGCCAAAAAAAAATGCCAAATGCGCGATGTCTTCAACGTTGAAGTAACAACCACAGACCAAATTGGTGAGGTGATATCGGTCGATAATGGATTGTAAATGCCAAACTGACTGAAAATGAGAAGGAACTAAAGCAAACCGCCGATGCAGCCATTAACAAGCATTCCCTCCCTTCCTCCTCAAAATGTGGAAGGAGCGCAGCAGGACGATTTGTACGAACTTGCTTAACTCGCGCGTGAATTAGTGCTACATTGTGATCTACTTTGCGTGACACTGGGTGTGCACGAGGTATCTCCTCCGTGGGTTCAAATTAGTTGCCATCAGATCGCCTTGTAGGGCCCGAGCGTCACTGCGTCAATGTCGCATACTTTGAAGCCGCGACAACGGCACATCTGTCATACCGGTGGGCTACTTTATCCCATCTTATCCGCTACATCATAAGCCACATTAGGCGTGATCCCCACGGCTAGGAATGGGGCGTGTCGACCTGTCGACCGAAGTGCAGACGGACCAAGGTCGGCGCCTATGGGAAAACTTATAGCGTCTTTTCGATGGACAGTTTTTGCTCCAGTAACAATTTACGAACTCTCGACTTGGACCTATACACTTTTCAATGGATTAGAATGTGTATGTGTGGACCCATCTTAGGTTGTTGCTTCGAAGAGAGTTCATCCTACGACTTTTAATAGAACGCAAAAAAAACATCATTTTAAGAGACTAAGCAGGAGTTCGGATAAATTCTCACCGCGACTCTATCATACTCCGTCTCGAACGCCTTTCGAACAGTAGCAAACTCTCTCTGAAGTGGCAACGGATCTTCTTCGATGAAGACGTATTGCTTCTTTTGGCCGTCATCTTCATACAACGGCAGCTGAAACAAGTATACTTAAAAATCAGCTGCGGCTATCGTGGAAATCCTAACTGATTGCATTTTGAACACAACTGTAATTGTATCTGTCAACATCCACTTCAAGTTCTCATTTAAACGAAGGAACTCACAAGCTTCCAGACCACTAAATAATTTGCAGATAAAAGTAAGAGGAGATGAAAGGGTGAATGACAGATTGGAAACGTGGTTTTCTAAAGTTTCTCAAAAAACTTCCTAGAAAGTACGCTCAATATTGACAAGTGTGTCCTTCAGAAATGTTAACATCTTTCTTGATGAGCTTTTATCGGTTATCCTAACTGATTGTACAAAACGTCTATTCATGTTAATGGTTGTGACAAAGCGGTCGAATTGAGAAATGAAACCATATTCAAATCAGGCTCATAAGAGACGTGGCGTGCCATCATTGATGCTTACTGCAAGGATTCACCACTCGTTCCACTAACTACAGCAACAATACAGAAAGGTGACACAGAAAGGTCAGACATTCATAGTGAATGATCAAATAAACAACACAACAAGGCGGGACAACCTGCTGGCCCCGAAAAATTGTACAAGGAACATCGAATAGGGAGATGTCAAATTGTCGTAGTAGGCGGGGTGTACATAAAAGTTCTAATGTCGAATACCCTGAATGTTTGTGTCGCTCACCTAGAAGAATGCGCAGTAAGTGATAGAAACAGCAGAATCAAAATTATAATGGGAGGTGCGTTGTGAACTGCACACTAGCGTCATTCAGTGGTCAGAGAATAGTAGAAGCAGTCGGTGTGCTTTATCTTATTAACAGACCAGGAAAATTGAATCTTATTCTATCGAGATACTCCTTTTTCAGAAATCTGTTCACAAGATTATCTGATTTGATGACTATTGTTTGAGGAACTTTTGTAGATGCGCCTACATTTTTTGCATGTTTCACATGCTAATTGCATGTCCTTATAAAAAAAAAATTAAAAAACATGTGGTGACATAAAACCCCTCGGGGATGTCAGCCACTAATGAAACTAAGGTCAAAGTCATTGTTGAAGAACCATTCAAACGTGATGGAATTGCGATCAGCCACTAT